GACTCACAAAGAAATATACTGACTTTTGACTGCTTTTACTGCACTTTGCTGCCTCTTTGTTGGTCAAGCTTGACTTTGCAAAATTTATTTATTTCAGTTAGCTATGAAATGTGAAGTTAGGGCATACTATGGGGTGAGGGTGGTAGCATTTTTGACGGGTTATACGCTAATATTTTATGAAACCAGATTCCTCCCCCTTTTTTTAATTGACTTACATTTGAATAAAAACAAGACACAATACAGAAAATGGTGTCCATGCAAATGCATTCAGATAAATTTTGTCTAACAAGTAACTCCCAAGTTTTATTGGCATCCCATGTTTGAAATTAAGGCTGAAAATGCATTTAAATATCATGTCACCATACGAGTTCTAATGTAATTCATTTGAATTCAAAAAATATATTCTTATAGTTTTTAAATAACAAAAAAAATTTCAATAAGCAAATTAGAAAAACACACAGTAAGGACTAACAACAGGAATGGTGAAGAAGAATCCCAAAAGTTCATAATTATAAATATGTGAAATCCCCACCTCCCAAAAAAACATATCCCTCCTCTCAATCATGAGATTCTCTTCTCATTATTCTGTATTCCTTTTGTTGACACATTACTAAATATTATTTACATTATAGATTTAGAATTTCTTTTTTTGCTACAGTTCTTGCTTTATAAAGCACTACGTAGCATTTATCTCTGACCTAGCCTATACAACTTCATTTCTTCTCATACTATATTTAGAAATTATGTTATCAGCTGTCAGTACAAGGACTATTGCAAACAACAACTTTGTGAGAAAAATCACTAAGCCTCATTAACGATGCTCCAGTATGAAAGATATTTACCAATTTACACTGTCACCAAGAACTTATCAGTTGAACAAATATCATAGTAAGTAGTCATTTGAACTTATACTTTACATTTATAACTGTGCATCACGTTCTTTGAGACCCTTTTACCTCACATTATTTATAAAAGTAGACAAATGTTTTATATTCAGTTTTTTAGCTCTATCATTATCTTAGTTTTGAATCATACATGTTGAGAATGCAATAATATTAGCTAAGTCATTAGTTTTTTTAATAGCACATACACATATATCGGAAAATTTTAAATGCCTGCTCCACTTGTGCTTATCTTCACCACTTGAATATATGAGTGTCTAAGTAACTTTAAAACAGTTTTATCAAAAGAGTATGTAAACTTTATTAAATAAATTCAAGATACCTTATCAAAACAGCAAATCATTATACATGTAATTTATCTGACATGTAATCCAATTGATTGTTTATAAGATAGCTCAAGAGATATTCACTAGATGTTAAGTGAAAAGCAGTTAGTTTGGAAATCAATCAGTGATGCACATTTTATACTTCTGTGCCTTGGAAATTGTGTAGTTACTAAGATCATTGTAAAAAAGAAATAAGTCAACTGATAAAAGGCCACTCAATCTTCAGATGTGGTCATTTACTAACTCTCAACAAAGATCAATTAATCACCAAATGTTTGAATTAATTAAAACAAACACCACACCATACCTATTTTAAATAAAGTTATCAAACCTGAAATAGTAATTCAATAGGAATCAATTTCATGACTTATTATTCTCTCCCTTTAACACAAACTCATAGAGAAAGGCTTAACAGTTTCTTTAATCAAACCTAAATACTTAGCAGAAGGCTTCATATTTATTCAGCATTACTAAAATGTCAGCAGACAGCTTCAAAGTTATTGTAAAAGATTACATTTATTCTAGTCATTCTATCATAGAAATATTAAATTTTTACCTTCTTACACAAAACATTCAGATGCAGGATTCATATTTCTTTGTGTTAAAACATATTTCTAATTCCTAGCTGACTTGTCATGTCTCTAAGTTTCTTTTCAATTAGACTCTTCAAATCCAAATATGTTTAGTAAAGTTTCACATATTACCTGTAATGTACAGTTAAATAAATGTTACAGCATAAATAATGCATAAGCCCAGTTAATATAAAACTAAATTTTTTAGATCCCAAATTTTAGAAAAACATTTTTTATAGTATATGTTTGTTCTCTTCTATACTAAAAGAAAAACAGATGGCTAAAGATAAGTTAAATAATAAAAGAGTCTTAAACATACAGTCTTGAATAAAATGTTAAATAATTGATTATATGATAGTGTAATTAAAAACACATATTTTAACGTAAGAAAATTAGAAATGAAAAAGGTACCTAGAATTTGACTTATAGCTATATGAACATTACAGATAGAGAAATTTATTTGTTACAGTTTTTACATTATAAAATTTTATACCATGAAAATACAAATGACATTATGAGAAGAGCAATTAGTTGAGAAATTAATCAGTGATATGAATTTAATACTTTTGTACCTTGGAAATTAAGATTTTTCTGATGTGTAATTTCTAGCATTATTTTAACTCATTACATGCACATGTTTGTTGTTTTAGTTTGAATATCTTAATGATTACTTTTCAACACTCCTAAACAAAATATATGAACTCGAAGCTAACAGATAAGCAGTGTATTTATTACTTTCTCTTTTCCTAATTGCATCAAAGACAAGATTATGACCTTTATCATGTTTAATTGTATATATATATTAATTATTCATTCCTGCCCAAATACACAGTTTGATCCCAAATCCCAATAGTAATTTGATTTTTAGACTTAAACATAGATATGTACTTCAAAATAAAAACTCATGTTCTATTCATTCGTATTTTCTCATTACTTTCTTTTAATCTTTCATCAGAAAATAAGTTTTTGTCTATTTAATTAGAAATATATGTTTAATTGAAATTGAATAAAACATTATAACACAATAATGGACAGAAATATATATAATTCTTTAATTTTACTACTACGAAACAAGTTCATGTTTTACAGACTAAACTTGCCAAACAGGTTTGTTGCCAGTCAGCTGTTGTCATTCAGGTTTTTTTTTGTTAATGTTTATTATACAAAATTATGAATGGGTCTCTGCAGGAATTCAAGTTAACAAGACAGTTGGTTCAGAATAAACCATCAATTATAAAGAGGTGAAACAGTACATTGGTGACAAACTGATAATATGTAAGTTCATTGATTTTCACAAATTGAGTTTAACATTTTTCCATCTCAAACTACCACTGAATCCAAATAGTTGGATTATGTGTTAGGGCTTACATAAATTCAGTTCACATACAGTTGGTACGTGTAATCTTAAGTGAAACCACAAATATCACTTCCTTCAATGGAATAAACTCTGAAATTCTAAATATGCTAAGAAGAGTAAAGATGTTTAGCATAGTTTTTCAATAATCAAAATTTTCACCAATACATGTATTTTATGTTCCTAATAACTTAGAGCAAATTTTTTTTTCTGATTTTACAAACATACATTTTTTTGTCACATTATTATCAATCAACATTTTATTGAGAATAGCAAGATTTTCTATCAAAATATTTATGTTTTCAGTATGTACACATGTTCACTGTAGTTCATGAAGAAGTTCTCTTCAGAGTAAAGTTTCAGCATAGGATGAACATTAGTTTTACAACATGCTTTACATGTCCAAGCCATACTTGAAAACTAACAAATATTGTTCAGGTAGTGGCAACTAATAATAGATTGTTAGTTAAAATGATGTGATTAATTCAAAATTTGGAACTGTTATTTACTTATACATAGAATGGAAATAACTGAAAATAACAAGTATAAGAATCTAAATATCGTTTGACTAATATACAATGTAGTTATTACTAAATGTCAATAGTGACAGTTTAATTTAAACTAAAAAAACTTGTTAGTTATTAGAATAACTTAGAATAAACTTTTTGGGCTTGTCAGCAGATTGATAACACAAACTGCTAAATGAGAACATTTTTTGCTAGCTTATCTTAAAACACACTTACAAACTCTACAAAAACAATTAAAAACACTGAGAATATGGATTGTTAGCATTTATTCTTTTATTTTCAAGTTATTTTCTATGCTTACTGTAACTTATTTAGACTAACTTTACTAACTCTGCATCAGTTTATTTCAATATCTTGTCTTATGTTACCTTTTGGTCATAACAGCTACAATATCAGTACTAATATGATAAAAAGAAACTCATATGCTTTACAAATGTGAATCTAAAGTGACTGATACTAGTACAATGTTTCCAAGCTGAATTATAAGTGGTAGATATATCATTTAAATTGCAACAAGCAAGATGTTTTTTTTTCATGCTTATTGGTGCATATGTTATATATATATTAGTTTAAATATAGTGAGAGTCTAACTGACTGATGTTAATGGTTAACATCTGATGCACAGTGTTTGTTTTATACAAGTTTGAACATAGTGAGAGATTAACTGATTGATGTTAATGGTCAAAACGTCCATATGTTACTTCTTTTTATATTCTATAAATAAGAGTCATTAAAATGTCAAAGACAAATACATATTCGTATAGACACTACAAGCTATATGTACAGTCACTATATACTTGCCTGGTTGTAGAAATTATGAAACAGTTGTATTTTCTTAATTTTCCAGAACATGAAGTAAAACTTATTCAATATGTAGTTTAACTTGTTGTGAGCTCTACAAATGCAATGGCAACTTATAACACTATACATATTGCGAGTTTATAATATATGAATATTACATAATTAAACGATTTACTGCGAACATTAACTACTGTTTTGGCAAGACATGTTCTGTCACGTACTACTACAACTATTAGATGCACTGATGACAATAATAAGACTACTGTGTCAATAGCATGGATTGCTGTAACTTGATATACCATACATAAAATATGCTCACACAAACTATCCTATTTTTGCTTTGTTTCTTTCTCAAATTTAATTGATATCTGTAGGAAAAGAAAAATAGTTCAATAAGCCCATACTTCGGCAATAGCATTTAAAATTAGTTTATTGGAAGTCAAATGCATTTTATAAAAACAGTTGTACCTTATTATTATTATTAATAGATTCTAAAATGCCTTCAATGGAAGACTTACTGTTCTGATTTTGGATATTCTGGAAACTTAGTTGTAATGAGTTCCTGAATTGTACGTAATGACTGTGGTTCGGCAGAAATCCCCTGAGCTCGTTCTTTACGTCTCCCATGCTTATCGTGTTGGTTATAGCTCAGTGGTATAAGTACCGACTGGTATTTGTCTAATTGACTACACAGGGCCTGAATTTCTTCATCTTTCCTAGAAAGCAGATTTTGCAATTGTCGAATGGTGTTTTCTTGGCGTCTAATAACTTCATCTTTCTCCTCAAGAGTTCCCATGCTGAAGTTTGAAAGTCTACAATAAAGAAATACAACACTTACCAGAAAACTGAAAAGAATAAACTTCTACAAGGCAGTTTACTTTATCTTGAACCAAATTTCAGTACCAGTACAAATCATTTATCGGGTGTTCTAACTTCAAAAATAGTAATTTAGACATTAAATCGATAAGTACGGCTGAGAACAAACTTAACAACCAATTTTTATCAGATCTGTCTTTTCACCGTAACTCAAAAATAAGCAACTGTATTTATTAACATGTTACTTAACGTAACGCACTAACGAACTTCCATACGCTATACAAATACTACTTCCGAGTCACAGCCCTCTTTATGGGTTCCGTATCCAGATCGAAAGTCGCGTAATTAACGAATTCGATTTTCACAAACCTGTGTCCAAATACTTTTGAGTCTAAGCCCGTGTATTTCAACGAATCATTTTAATAATATTTTTCCACATTAGTAAAGGCCAAAATTTTACAATAGGCTTGGTTCCATCTGCAACATTCCCTGCATTTATAAATTGAAGTACTGAGCCTATCACATGTAATCTCCAGGAGCCACGCTAGAACGCTAATACAGCGTAGAAACAATAATATCGCCCTCTACCGTCAATTCTCGTAAATCACGAACGTATTATGAAGCCCAGCACCATTGCCTGCAGCAAAGGAAGTTTTTGTCATTGCTTAAATACGTCATCTTAAAAAAAAAATTGGCAGAACTGAATCTAGCATTTTTATATGTGTATACTTTCTATTTTACGGATGCTAAATCTTGTAGATACAGTCAGGTAACATAAACAATTCTCTAAAATATATAAAACATAAAACAAACTATATTGAGGGTAAAACATCAGTTACCGAACCACATCATTAGCATACAATATCCTGCCTTTTCAACACATAATAGCATTTCCCACTTTCGTCTGTGATGTAGAATATCGGCTCGTTATGAAATGAAATTACAATAACTTTTTATTAAAATTAAAAAATATATACTTTTTATTACACAGCTGATAACAAACAAAAATATATGTTATTCGTTTATAGTTCCTATATAAGCAACCTTTATTTTCAGTTATACATATTCTGCTGAAATATATTATGGATAAGTAGCCAAAATCCTTGGAAATTTTTTTTAGGTTTGTGAAACGAAATAACCACAAATATAATATTATTTAGATTGCTACTACTAGTTTGCGGCTTTCAAAGTCATGTTAGGATATTGTTGGTTTTCCCGCTAATTAGCTGCGGCATAGCGGCTCATAGAATGGCTCTGAGTTTTTTCAAGTATAAACGCTTACCTCAAGATCTCATACATTAATTTACTCTAATCCAGCCTAAAATAATTTCAAGTGCAGCGGCTATTGAGGATTCCTTCTTGTTAGCCGCTAACAAGAAGGAATCCTCAATAGCCGCGGCAGAGCAGCTCATAGCTTTTAAATTTGAATCTATTTACAACTGCGGCTATTGAGGATTCCCTCTTCTTTTTTTCTTCTGTATCTTGTCGCTGGGTCTAGAAAATACCTATGCACCCAACATACAGTTCTTTGTATGTTGCCAGTAGCTATATCTCCGTTTTACTCAAAAATAATGCTTTCAAGTATTATACCAAAATTTACAAACAACTTAGTCTTAGCTTTACTAAATTTTAGGATCACTTTAGCTTAGTGATTTTGTATGAGCCTGTATAGATAATGAACTTTTG